CATTCGTCGGAGCTTGCAGAGAGTCCCATCGGTGCGCGTCGATAACGAAATCTTCCTTGAGGAAGGAGGAAGCAAGTTAAGTCCGCGGAACGTTCGTCGAGCGCAAGCTGATGGTATCCTTGGACAGCGTCTAGTTTCGCAAAGTATTTTGAATCGGCACGGATACCTTGGGCGATTTCTTTGGAGCATGGGAATGGATGAATGGGTCTTTTTACGAAGCGATTCAGGCCGGTAAAATCGGTAACAAGTCTTAGGCTTTTACCGTCGGGTTTAGGGACAAAGAAGGCCGGGCTTATCCATTCGGTAGGGTGGGAGACACGCTCGATAACACCGTTGGAGAGGGCCTTTTCGATGATGCGGTCAGCTTCGTCCTGACGCGCGAGCGGGATTTGTCTGGCTGTCATTATTCGCGTCGGTTTTGCTTCGATGTCTCGTAGGAATATAGACATGGGGGGGCCCAACATTGGTTTTTCTGGTAAACGATCGCATAACGTGTTTGGAAATTCTTTTTCCAGGGACTCGGTCAAGGAGGATATGCGGGCAACGACGTTATTCGGAAAGTTTTTGGGGATGATCCGGAGTTTTAGGAGAACTTGCCTACCAAGGATTACCTCGCTTTCCATGTCGCTGCAAACGATTGCTATGGCATCGACGGGTCGCCTACCATTCGAGAAGAGGGTAACGGATACTTTGCCGTCGCATTTCAAAGGGGACCGGTTTGCGGCTACCAGTTTGACGTTGAGATTGGGGGATATGGAGAAGTGGTTCAACGTCACGAGATCATGGGAAATGAGGGTTGACTCCGAGCCGGTATCGGCCAGGCATCGGAACGAGAAAGAATTACCGGAGGTACCGTCAACGACACGCACGTTCATTCGGGGGCTTCTATTCAAGTTTATGACGGATTCAACTTGATCCCCAGACCGTCAATCGGACGTACAAGAGCTCTCGGATGGCGAACTTTCTCTGGATCTGGAGCCTCCACGATCATTTCCTTGGCCGATGACATTAATCTTACGTCCCATACAAGCGGGAGCGATGTGGCCTTTGATGCCGCAGTTATTGCAGACGACGGATCTGTCGTACGAGCAGCCGCTGGTGTTGTGGTTGTTCCGTCCACACCTGGTGCAAAGGCCGCGGTCTCGCATCTCGCGCACGGAAGAAGGACGTTTCGCATCGGTCGGGGCTTTGGCGTTGGCGTTCGGTCGATCTCGTTTGGGATTTCCTCCTCGGAATCCTTGACGTTTGGTTGGTGGCGGGTACACCTTCAGGACGGGACTGGCGGTGTCGACGGGAGCACTGAGTTTGGCCTTGGAGTATAACTTGCTTTCGTATAAGCTGGCGGTATCTTCGATCGCCTTCAGCGTCTTTTCGGGTAGCTCGAGGAAGTCATCCAGGAGATCCTTGTCGGTTGTTCCACGAAGAGCGCAAAATACGAAAATCTCCTCGACCGAAAGCTTCTCGAGGTCGGCCAACTTCGACAATTCTTTGAGCCTCGCCATATAATCGGTGAAAGGTTGGCCCGCTTTCTGTTGTTTTTGAAAAAAATCCAGCCTTCTCGAAAACAAGGGGTATCTGCAGAGGAAATCACGCTCGAGGATCTCCAAACAACCATCTTTACCGAAGATATCGGTGCTGTCGTCCATTTTGGATGTAATTCTCGTCTTCAGGTCGCAATCGAGGAGAATTTTAAAATACGAAAGTCTTTCGGATTTGCTGAATGTCTCCATATTGTTAGAAGTGTAGTATGCCTTAAACGAATCCAACCAGTGTCTCATTTCGACTGGAGAAGCATCCTTGGAGAGGACGGAAGGTTTTAGAGAGTCGTTGATTCGATACGTCTTGGAAGGTTGGACGCTTCTTTCTTCGGTCGGGCGACGAGGGATTGCAGCTTTCAATAGTTCATGGATGGCTGCGTTGGCGCGCTCTTCTTCTTTCGTTAAATCCATATCGTACTTGGCGATGTTTGAGGGGTCCATGTCTTGCAGGTCGATGATGGTCGTTTCGATGCGTTTCAGGTACTTCTTGATCTCGTCCCGTCGTTCAGCAATGGAGTTGGGATCTTGTGTGTCAATGAAGTCGGTGACAGCTTTGTGTGAAACGTTTATGACCCTGG